TTTCATACCTTTCTGTACATCTTTTGTTAGAAAGGTTGTAAATAAGATCAAATATCCACGTGCTCTGGATCAGATGTTCCAGATCTCATGCTGACACTTTCTCTGCTTGAGACAACAGAGTCCTTGTGCAGGGCGGCTGGTAATGCCTGGCACCACAGGTCATCCACTCAAGTCAGCCTCCATCATGACCATCATGACTTTATTTTAGGACCAACAGCATCCTCTGGTGGTGCAGTCTGGTATGCATGATGCAAACTGGTTCTCACCAATCAGCTGCAGCAGTATAAGTCGATGCTTGAGACACATCAGCATGCATCTGAGAGTCTAAATATTTCATTTAAATAGAAAATCAAAAGGCACCCTCAGACATTTTAAAATAATTGTAAAAACATGCAGCAAGTATGAAAAAAAGAAAAGTTGAAGACATAACTCTGAAAAAAGTGATTGTTTTAAATTTGTTAAGCTTTCTTGTGGAAAAAGGAGGAAAGACATATAGATTTGTTCTTATCAGAGGCTATAGCCTGACTGAGGGCAGTGTTTCTATCCAACTCTGTTTGTATGAGAGCATGTACTGACCCCTAGTGTTCAGACAAACAATTCTTCTAAACAAGAAAGTGTAATGTTGTCATGGCCGTAGTCTGCAGTTCAGACCACCTTCCCTTTTTGGAGTCTTTGGAGGAGGTGCTGGAGAGAGCTCCTTCTGGTGACTCCCTCGTTTTGCTGGGGGACTTTAACGCCCACCTGGGCATTGCCAGTGAGTCCTGGAGAGGAGTGGTGGGGAGGAACGGGATTTCTGTGCTCATCATGGATTGTCTATAATGAACACCATGTTCAAGCATAAAGGTGTTTATATGTGCTCTTGGCACCAAGATACCTTAGGCCGTAGCTCAATGACCGACTTTATTACCATCTCATCTGGTCTGCGGCTGCATGTCACTCGGGTGAAGAGAGGGGTGGAGCTGTCAAGTGACCACTGCCTGGTGGTGAGTTGGCTTTGATGGTGGGGGAGGATGCCAGTCAGACCTGGCAGGCTCAAACGCATTGTGAGGTCGAACCTCGGATTCAGAAGGAAAAATGTGGTTTTCATCCTGGCCGTGGAACACTCAACCAGCTCTGTACCCTTAGGGAGATCCTGGAGGGTGTGTGGGAATTCGCCCAACCAATCCACATGTGCATTTGGAGAAGCCGTTCGACTGCGCCCCTCGGGAGACCCTGTGGTGGCTACTTCAGGAGTATGGGGTACCAGATACGGGCTGTGAGGTCCTGTATGACCAGTGTCAGGGCTTGGTCCACATTGGCAGCAGTAAGTTGAGCTCTGCCAAGGCTGCCCTTTGTCACCGATTCTGTTCATAACTTTTATGGACAGGATTTCTAGGTGCAGCCAAAATGTTGAGGGCGTCCGTTTTAGTGGCCTAAGGATCGGGTCTGCTTTATGCAGATGATGTGTTACTTTTGGCTTCATCAGAACATGATCTCCAACTCTCACTGGAGCAGTTCACAGGCAAGTGTGAAGCCGCTGGGATGAGAATCAGCTCCTCTAAATCCGAGACCATGGTCTTGATTCGGAAAAGGTTAGAATACCTTCTCCGGGTCAGGAAAGAGGTCCTGCCTCAAGTGGAGGAGTTTAAGTATCTCTGGGTCTTGTTCATGAGTGAGGGAAGAGGAGAAGAAGTGGAGGAGGTTGAGGAAAACAAATACCTTGGAGTTCACCTGGACAACAGACTGGACTGGAGAAAGAACAGCGAAGCCATTTACAAGAAGGGACACAGCAGACTGCACTTCTTGAGGACGCTTAGGTCCTTCAATGTCTGTAGCAAGATGCTGCACATCTTCTACAAGTCTAATAAAAAAGGCTGGTTCTGTTCTGGGGACGACTGTGGAACCGCTGGAGGAGATAATGCAAAGAAGGATTCTCCAGAGAATCAAGAAAATGATGGACAACCCTGAGCATTCTCTTCACAAGACTGTCCGACAACGGAAGAGTGTCTTCAGTCAGAGGCTTCTTCAGTTTCGCTGCAACACTGACCGCTACTGGAGATCCTTCCTGCCAACAGCCATTGTAATATACAATAACTCTTTGATGACTTGATTATTATTATTATTATTCTGAGCTACTACAGCAATCAGTTTCCCTCTGGGATTAATAAAGTATTTTTGAATTGAACTGAACTGAGAGCTGGAGCACGAGATCGACAGGCAGACTGGTGCTGCATCTGCAGTGACGCGGGCGTTGTTAAAATTAATGCAAGTCAATGGGGCTTAAAACATTATTTTCTAATTCCACTTGTTTTGTGCAATGGATTTCACATATGATGCCCATGAATTTTAAAAACGCATTTTGATACCAAGAACTCGCTTATTTTTGAAGTGGTGAAAACGTTATTTTAGGTATCAAAACATCCTACGTGAAATCCATGGCACAAAACAAGCAGAATTACAATATAGAGTTTTAAGCCCCATTGGGTTGCAATTTTTCGTTCTTCTGGAGACCCATGATTTGAAAGTAGATGGGCGTGACTTAGGCTCTTAGGATCTACTTCCGGTAGATGAATTCCCGGATAAAATGAAAAAATTAATGCAAGTCAGTGGGGCTTAAAACGTTATTTTCTAATTCTGCTTGTTTTGTGCCATGGATTTCACAAATGATGTCCGTAAATATTAAAGACATATTTGAAAACCAAGAACGCGCTTATTTTCAAACATGGGGACACACTATTTGTGGTTTTGTGTAAAAATAAGTCTAGGACTAAAAATGCGTTTCACAAAAGTGACGTCATCAAGCCAAGCATGGAGAAAACTGAGGGAAAAGGGCTGTAAGTTCTGCAAACTTCCCACAGAAGGAAGGAACCACCATAACTCTGGCCATTTGGTAAGTATCAGCTACGTTAGGGGAGAAGAGATTGTGGTCACGTCACATATGCGACGTGCCGAATTATGCTGTGTAGTCAGGCTAATTACGAACTTTTACAAGCTGATAAACCTCAAAGTAAGTGACTGGCGTGGTTGAAACACCCATCATTACTTTTAAATGCAGTACAATATATGTGCGATCCAATCAAAGCAGATTAGAAAATAATAAATATTTTTAGCCCATTGACTTAAATGGGCCGTGTTCGAGATGAGGCAGTTCTGCGCAGATTAGGTCACCTGTAATTGGCGTGCAGTGCATGCCTGTTAGATTTGTGTCCGCCAGTTTTCCAGGCGAGCTGCAGGGTGCAGCTCATCTCGAACAAGGCGATTTTTTCATTCTTCCCTAATATTAATGTCGATGGTTCTTCCAGGGACCCATCTACCGGAAGTAGATGGGTGTGACTTATATATCAAGACTTAGTCATGCCCATCAACTTCTGAACCAAAAAAACGCAACACTTATTGACCATGTAATCAACAATGGGCTGACACTGATGAAAGCTGGACAGAGAGCTCTACCAGATCTCAGCTGCGTCTATGATCCGGACATTTCGTCGAGAGTCCAGGTAAGCTACCCACATAGTGCATTGAAACTGAAGCTTGCTGTACCTATCATCAATATTGTTTACTGTGACATTAGACTTTAGGCTGCATGTGTATTTATTTTACAGTAATATATTTTTTACATAGGACCGAGGGTCAAAGACACCAAGGTGGAAGGGGCCCTGTGTTCACTCGTGCATAAGAAGCCCACATTGTGAACATGGTCTTGACCAATAATTGTCAAGCTGCGAGAAATCCAAGGCAATATCATCAACGATGACCATATTTTCAATAACATTCACTGAGTCTCTCTGTATTGGGTTGAATCCTCAAGAAAAATCAAATAAACATGAAGCTACTGTATCGGGTACCATCTGACAGAAGTTCAGAGAGTGAAACATCTGTGGAATGAGCATATGGAGGTATGCATTGTTCATCTTACTGTGGTGTGGTATTTTGCACTGCTCACAATGGTGTGTACAAACAAATACTGTGCAATAGATACTGAATAGCACACTATTGTGTGTGTTTCTGAGAGTCTTGCAAATGGATCCTGCAGAAATTCAACATGAATTTATATATGTGGATGAGGCTGGACTTAAACTTGCAAAATCAAGAAGATGGAGAAATGTAGTTGGACACAGGGCAATCACAATGTGGCAGGGCAGCGAGGGAGTAACATCACCCTTTGCGCCGCAGCTATTACCCAAAACGGGGTTCTCCACCACCATGCAAAACTGGGACACTATAATGTAAATCTGTTACTTGGATTTCTTGACATATTGCACGTGAATGTCACAGCATTACACCAGGTGGACCAGATGCTGTACATTGTTGTTTGGGATAATGTCTCGTTCCATCGGGCTGCTGTGGTCCACAGCTGGTTTCATGAGCACCCTGAATTTGACGTCTTGTTTCTTGAACCAATAGAGTTTTTTTTTCAGCTTGGCGGTAGAAGGTATACAACCTGCAGTCCGATCATTCAGGCCAAGGAGAGGCCAAATGTGTATTTTATTTGTCATGGCGGTGTGGGACTGGCTGCAATGGTGTCTGACCATTGAGAACTGTGTTGGTTGAATGAAAACTAATAGCATTTTCACAAATGTGTGTAAATGTTTTTGACTGACTTGTGTCAAATTGCAAAAGAAATCTATGATTTATGCAAACTGGGTGTGGTGTTTGGACAACTGTGATCAAATTTAGAAAACATGAACCCAATCTTCTAAATTGCATGTAAAAAAATTGTAACATGAAAGCAATTGGCATACCGTTGTGTGTGTGTGTGTGTGTGTGTGTGTGTGTGTGTGTGTGTGTGTGTGTGTGTGTGTGTGTGTGTGTGTGTGTGTGTGTGTGTGTGTGTGTGTGTGTGTGTATGTGTGAGAGAGAAACACTGAACATTTGATGGTCAGCATTGACGCCTAAAGGTCTTGGATAAGGCAGTTTACTTCATCATTTCTGCAGGATCCTGCAGAGATATTGAATAAGATGCAAAGCCCACACACACCCACTGAGGACACACATAAGTACCCTCACTCTCCCACCTCCCTCCCTTCCTTGCTCTCCTCCATGCTGCCCGTCTCAGCTCTGCGCTCTGCTTTAGCACAACTGCTTGGCTCGTACAGGCAGGCTAGCCACCGCTTTGTCAACAATCCTCTCTCTACCGACAAGAAACTTCAAGAAGCTCCCTCACACAGCCTCCCTTTCCTCCTGCACAAAGGATGCTGGAGTTCAGGCCAAAATGGATGAGGCTGCTGTGTTTGTGGGTTCTGTGTCTGTGTCTCTGCCTGCCGAGTGGATCACACGCCAGGAGATCCCCAAAGGTACCCCGCTGCCCTGCAACCTGCTCCTGCACCAAAGACAGCGCCTTCTGCGTGGATACCAAGGCGATTCCTAAGAGCTTCCCTCCTGGAATCATCTCTCTGTGAGTCCAGAATTCACTCTTAGACTAAAGCATCTACCTTTTCTCCTCCAGTGTGAGGTCCTGGCAGCATGCGAGCTGGTACAGCTACATCCCTGATGTCACCCACTCTTATGTAACCATGAAACCTCTGCTTGTCTTTTAACATAAAGTACAATTATTCACGATCACGGTGTCCAGATGCAAAGTCTTGTCATGTGATAAAGCTTGACAACGGCGATGATGATGATGTCCCTTTCATCGTGTCCCAGAGAGAGAGACACTAACAATAGATTCCCTTTCTCACTGCAGGCCAGCGTCTCCTCTCAGAGGTTTAATCTTGATGATTATAAAAATATTCTCTCAACATGTGGAACAAAACTGGTCTTTCATGGATCTTCATCACCTGTGGAATGAATTAGCACTCCAAACAGAGAAGCTAAGGAAGATGCTTTCCCCATGACGACGATAGACATGTTGGAGAAAAGGATGAAATAAAGATTCAGTTCTGATCAATAAGGACGCCATATTGGAAACCTCTGTGCTGATTGGTGTTCTCTGTATCAACAGGACGATGGTGAACGCAGCGTTCACAACAATCCCTGAGGGAGCTTTCTCACACCTCCACCTGCTACAGTTCCTGTAAGTGTTCTGGTTCTGACCTACAGCCAAACACCGTCAGTGCTTCTTTTAGTGTACACAGCAGTTGTTAGCAGTGATGGTTTAAGAACTTGAGCTACTCTACTCCAAATGAATGGTTATTGAACGCAGTGGTGACCTAGCAGCAACAAGGCTGAAGTGTCTCTGTATCAGTGTCAGCTCTACTCACACACACAAAGACCCCTTTTGTCTCGTCTGGTGCAGTCATGAGTGTGTGTCCATGTTTGTGCATGTCTAAATGTCTTTATTGTGTTGCTCAAAAACATTACCATTACATACAGTGATCATTCACTTTTGGGGGTTAAATACTGGTCTCTCTTATGCATATATGATCTTTTATGTTTTCAACAGGCTTTTAAACTCCAACACGTTCACCATGGTGGCTGATGATGCCTTTGCTGGTCTGTCTCATCTGCAGTATTTGTGAGTAATGAAGAATATTATTACTTTAATAGACAGGAAAAAAATAAAATAAAATTTAAAATAAATAAATAAATATTGTGTCTGCACTCTGCAGATGCATTTTAAAGAAACTCTAAAAACTAAATCTGTCATAAAACACACATCTGCAAATGATGAAAAGCCTAATCACCCTAGTAACCACAAAAGTGTCTCAAATGCAGTTAAATGTGCAAATATTGAGGCTAAACTGTGCATGTGCTTTCAGTGACTCTGTGGAGTTATTAAACATAACCTACAGTCTAACATCTGAGATGAAGACTCTGCAGCACAGAAAAAAGTGCCAAGAGTTAAATAGGACGTAAATCTTCCTGTGACAGCAGGCTCTTTGCCTCTGCAGAGTGAAAAAGCTGAATATGCCATCCAGTGAACTGATGTGCTTTAGAAAGTAGTTAGCTGATGGCTGGGAGCCTGCTGTGAGCATGCAGCCTGCTGGCTGCAGGGCTCATCTAGCAGGCCTCTGCCTCATTGCCTGCTGAGAATGCTGATAAAGTCATCATGTTGTCATACCCAGCCACCCCTGAGAGTCTGCACATGCTGCATGCAGTCACAACAGAGATGGAACAAGATCAAATTATGCTGACACACACATACATATAGCTGTGCTCTCTTTTGTGCATGAACTGAGCCTCATGAATAACGAGGAAAACAGATGGATTCATCTCTTTTTCTTGTCTTTCTAATGTGATGTCTGCTGGTTGGATTTCACAGGATGTTATATAAGTGATTTATTCTCTCCTCAGGTTCGTTGAGAATAATGACATCCAGGCTTTGTCAAAGTATACGTTCAGAGGGCTCAAATCCCTGACTCATCTGTGAGTATTTTGCTCATGGAAAAAGAATCTGTTACAAAAACTACTAGCAAGACAATCTGATGAAACGTTTAGTGCAGCAAATAAGACCACAACATCTAACTCTCTGCAGATCGCTCTCAAACAACAACCTGCAGCAGCTGCCCAGAGATCTCTTCAAACATCTGGACATCCTCACTGATCTGTATGTGTGAGATGTTTAGCCAGTCTGCTGCTCAGATTAGAGGCTTGTTGGGTTTTCTTGCAGGTTTAGTGTCTAGCTGGAGTGGGTGACGTGTTGATGCTTTTAGAAAACCAAATCTAAAATGTTTTGACATTTAGGTTTGAAATTTTGTGTCACTTAGAGACCTGCGTGGGAACTTGTTCCGCTGCGACTGTAAGATCAAATGGTTGGTAGACTGGATGGAGAAGACCAACACGTCGGTTCCTGCCATCTACTGTGCTAGCCCTTTTGAATTTCAGGGACGCAGAATTCATGACCTCACACCACGGGACTTCAACTGCATCAGTGCAGGTCTAAACTCGCCTTTCTCTTTCCGTATCCAAAAAGGTGATGTTTGTAACTGCTGCTGTGCCGTCCTTTCAACAGATTTTGCTGTTTATGAGACCTTCCCTTTCCACTCTGTGTCAGTGGAGTCGTATGACTTCAGCGGAGATCAGTTTGTGGTTTTTGCTCAGCCTGACTCAGGTTTCTGCACCCTCTACATATGGGATCACGTAGAGCTGGCCTTCAGGAGGTTTCACAACATCACATGTAAGCTGTAGACTTCATAACGAACCTGAAGTGAACTTAAACCTGATGTAATCCGGCTTCTGTGTGTTCCTCCCTAAGCTCGTTCTGCTGTTTACTGTAAACCAGTGGTGATAAACAACACACTCTACATGGTTGTTGCTCAACTCTTTGGTGGATCTCACATTTACAAGTAAGGCTTCTAATCACTCTTCACTTCACAAATGACCTTAAAGTGATAATGTGTAGATTTTACGATTAATCTCTAGAAACATCCATTGAAAGTTGTTGTAAATTAATTAAAAGATGCCCAGTTGTTGAAAAATATTGGTGTTTTCATAACAGAAAACCGTAAAATCAGGTCTAAAATGCATAGGAGCGGGTCCAAGTCTCTGGGCCATATTGGATGCCGTGTTTCCTTCTACGGAAGCCCGCGAGGACAGAATTTACTGATTTGTATTTGATATTTATAAAACTTTCAGCATTAATAAAGTTGTTCTTTTACATGCTTACCTCTTCACTCATTGCTAGTGATGACAGGGAATCTGATGTTCTTGTTGTTTTGCTGGAGGTTGCACTCCCAGGGATTTTTGACCATAATGGCCATCTGTTGGTAAGGTCTTACTTGAACACAAAAATACTGCTTGCTTGCAATGATTTAGGTATGTACTGACCCTATCGCCAGGGAAAATACACACTGTCACTTTAAAGGAACACTTGAAGGGGACAGATTATGATTTTTTTCTCCATAATTTACAATAGTTCTATGGTCAGTTCCATCATGAAGTTTGTTGCACTAAATCCCTCTCAAAAATAGACATCTCAACAGTTTTGTTCTAGACAGTTTCAGTACCTTCCAAAATGAGTCGTTTCAGGACTCTGTCACTTTAGACAAACTAGCTGTTGATGATGCCTCACTCAGGCTGCTATAAGCTGAGAAGCTCTAGAAGCTGAGAGAAGCTCAGAGTAGAGACACTGCTCCTCCAGCAGCAGCCGCCTCTTACACACGAGAGGTGGTTATATTCTACTTTCCCCATTTGTGACATCACAAAAAGGGAATTTTTGAAACAGTTTGTTTTAGGCACATAATTGCTAATACCAAACACCTATAGAACATGGATAGAATGATTCTTTTCAAATCTGGGGTGTTTCTAGAGTCAGTAGAGACCCACTTGCTTGCTCAAAAGGATGCAAAAGGTAGGTTTTGCATAATATGTCCTCTTTAAATTATGTTTTTTTTGTTTAATTCTTAAGAGTTTGAACTATTGTTTAGACTGAAAGGTAAAAAAAATCAAACACTTATCTAACCATTTAGAGACTAAAAACAAAAGATTTCTACCACAGCTGTAGAAACCACTCATTAAATGTTTGATAAGAAATCACTTCAGTAGAACCTGTCTGACATAAAGTATGCTAAAAGATCTCAAAAAATAACCCATCACCATCTTTGGTTATTGGATATTCCACCCAAAGTTCACATTGTGTCAGCTGACATATTTCCCAGCAGTAGATAAGTGGGGGAAAAAAACACATTTTTATCCGGCCCAGTCATTCTCCTGACCCAGTTGTACTCCTTTAGCTTTAGCTTAGCATAAACACAGCAAGTGAATGGATCCAGCTAGCGTTGTGAGTAAAAACGTCCTTAAAATCACTCAGTATCGAGTCCAATTCTGCTTGGTGACCTAACTAATCAAACTGACTGCGGGCGAAAAAAATTTGTGACATAAAAGAATCACAGGTGCCATTTTTGACTTAACTGCTCTATGACAAAGCACAGCTGTAAACCTCCAATGAAAGGTGCAAGGCAGCCCAAAAGACACCTGCTTCCATAAACACAGATATGCCTACGTTGTTAGCGAACTGCCATAAAACACATGCACGCAAACACACATGAACGCACGCAAGCGTGCGCGCCGCACGCACACACACACACACACACACACACACACACATGCACGTTATTAACAGCACATCTCCAAGTTTCCATTTTTCTGAAAGGTGTGTTTTTAAAATTAATTCTGTGCTGGTTATCCAGTTCCATTGTTTGATTTTACCTTCTCTGCGACGCTCTGAACAAGGCAGAGTCAGCCGAAACTTTCAGCAACAAGGTAAAAAAAAACTTTATTCCTCTGTGGAACCCATCATGCCCCGTTCTGAAGAAAGTCACTAACAAAAGATCCCAGAACAGCATCTGAAGCCCTGCAGGCTGTTAAGGTCAGAGGTCATGACTCAACTATAGGAAAGAGACTTGATTTGCAGATTTAAAATGGCATCATGAGAACGTTCTGAGGAAAACCAAACCTCAAAATTCTCAAAGAACATTTAGAGAGTTTTCAGCGAGACAAAGGTAGAAAATTCTGGAAGCTGTGTGTCTCGTTCCATCTGAAGTAAAACTACCAACCAGTTGTTAGGTAGAGAGCACAAATGCTTTTCCCAAAATAATCCCGGTTGGTTGGTTAGATGTTTCCTTTAATAAAGAAAGCCATTTGAAAACCACAGTTTCTCTTTACTTGGGTTTTTTGTTTGGTCAATGCAGCAAACCATAGTAGGTTTATTTGTTTCACAGAATTATTTAAACAAAAACACTCTTATGGAGACATCTCTGTGTGTAAGCTTCGGCCCACATCTGTTTTTCCAGTTCTCACTGAGCTAACTGGCAAAAACATCATACATTAAAGAAATACCAAATGAAAAGTGAAACTACTACTGTTGTAATGAAAGGCTTGCAGAAAACACTGATTTGTTTTGTGACCACAGGTGGGAGGAGGGGCCACAGCGCTTCATAAAGATCCAAGACATTGACACCAGCCGGGTGAGGAAACCCAACTTCGTGGAGACCTTTCAGCTGGATGGAGAGTGGTATTTCATTGTAGCAGACAGTTCCAAGGCTGGCTCTACCAGCATCTATCGCTGGAACAGCAACGGTTTCTACTCCCACCAGTCCCTCCACCCCTGGCATCGAGACACCCACGTGGAGTTCCTGGATGTCAGTGGAAAGCCTCATCTCATCCTCTCCAGTGCCTCCCAGCCACCGGTGGTGTACCAGTGGAACCGGAACCAGAAGCAGTTTGCTTTCCAGTCCCAGATCACAGAGCTAGCTGATGTCCAGATGGTGAAGCACTTTTGGGTGAGGCGGGTTCTCTACCTCTGCCTCACTCGCTTCATTGGAGACTCCAAGATCCTCCGCTGGGAAGGGCAGCGATTCGTGGAGGTCCAGTCTCTGCCCTCTCGAGGGTCAATGGCCGTGTATCCCTTCACAGTGGGCCAACGTCAGTACCTCATTCTGGGAAGTGACTTCTCCTTCTCTAGAGTCTACCTGTGGGATGACCTCACCCAGCGCTTTCAGCCCTTCCAGGAGCTGAACATGAGAGCCCCCAGGGGGTTCAACTTGGTGTCTGTGGACAATAAGGACGTTCTGCTTGCTGCCAGTTTCAAAGGCAATACTCTGGCCTACCAGCACCTGGTTGTGGATCTCAGTGCCAAATGAACAACAAGGTGTCATTTGATCATTGAAGATAAAACGTGCCAAACACAACTGCAAAACGGCCAAGCCATGTGACTAATGTCTGCTGTTTTTTCTCTGATGGTCAAAGGGAACCAGATGGAAATAAAAGATTATCTGAACTATTTTTATGCACTTTTATTTAACATGTGGATGAGATGATGTTTAGTACTAGTGTGTGTTCTACTGTTTCTGCTAAACCAAACTGAGGGCAAGGAGCAACGTTTTTTCCGGGGTTTGTTCCTTATGTTTGTATTCTACTAAAGCCTTGTACCCAAACATGCATGTAAACGGACTTTTACATTAGTGATATATGAAGAAGTAATTTGGTGCATGACATTGTATGAGCGTAATTAGCTTAGATCGCTGCGCTTTAATCCTTCATTTTGTTTAAACCTTTAATTTCCATAAATCTGTTTTGGATCAGATGTTTGTTCACTGCATTGAAAATGCAAACCGGCATAAACGCTGGTCTGTTCACTACTGTTGTGCTTTATCACTGTGACATAAGGAAGCACACATATAGCTTCATGAGACTGTGGAGTAAATGTTATAAAAGTCCTTATTCTGTCACAGTTGTTGATTAAAACGACTAAAGTGGGTTGTAAATAAATCCTGCTGTCAGCTTCCAAAACTGTCCCGTCCAGGTTTTATTGTTGTGCCACAACTATTTTGTCATGCATTTGAAAAGCGCCGCTCCTGCACATTTTTTGTAAATAAAAGAACAGCCCTTCTGTTTTATCTTCACTGTTATAAATGTAGATATGTGGGAAACTACAGAGATAATTTAACTAGCATCTTCAAATACAAACTACTTTCATTTACTAACATCAGTGATTACAAAATTACCCGAGCATCTGTGAAAAACGATAAAGTAAAAATGCAGATTGGGAAAAAGTCTAAATACTATCAACAGAAACATTAATCTTCAGGAAGTGAGCTACTGCTCTCCTGAACCTGACTGATAACCAGGAAGCTCTCTGTGGTTGTTTGCTCTCTCACACACCACCTCTTTGGAACATCTCTGGAAAATGTCACGCCTGCAGCGGATGTGCGAAAGTGTGACAAAACAAACGCATGATTCTCCTTCATCTGGGCACAAAGGTGTCAAGGCCACATTCGGTGCCCTGAGCCAGGTTGCTTATTGGCCGGGGATGCATCGAGACATCTCAGACTACATCCAGATCTGTTTGGTTTGCTGTCAGTTTCAACCAACTAACCCCATTCACAGAGCTCCTCTTCAGAGCAGGGGGCCGTCCACACCCTGGTTGGACCTGCAATTCCATTGGGTGGGGCCCCTGACCAAGTCCAGCCGAGGTAACAAATACTTCTTGACCGTGACCTGTGCATTCACCAAATGGGTTAAATGTTTGCCAGCACCTAATGACACGGCTCAAACAACTGCTATTCTTTTGATGAACCACATCTTCCCCCGGTTCGGTCTCCCTGCACGTGTTAACTCAGATAGGGGAACTCACTTCACCTCTGGGGTGCTGGAACATCTTTGGTGGATGATGGGTGTCAAGGCCAATTTTCTCATTGGTTATCGGCCCCAATCTTCCGGCCAGGTGGAACGAATGAACCGCACTGTTGTCTGCATGTTAAAGAAACACGTGTCCTCTAATCACACAGACTGGGATGTGAAGCTTCCTTTGGTCCTTATGGCCATACAGGCCACTCCTCATGAGTCTACAGGTGTCTCCCTGTTTGAAATGATGACGGGTAGACAAATGACCCTGCCGCTTCACCTGCTGTATCAGTCAGTTCAACCCGCTCCGGCTTACACTAACGAGCAGTATTTGCAGGACCTGAAGAACCATCTGCCTGCAGCGTTTTCTTTTGCACAGACAAATCTGGAGAAATCAGCTGAGGGCAGGAAGGCTTATTATGATCAGAAGGCCTCACATTCTGAACTCAACGTGGGTGATGAGGCCTGGTTCTACATCTTTGCTCCTAATTCCGGTCACACAAAAGCAACCTCTGGTAAACTGGCTAAGAAACTTTTGCCGAAGTGGTCCGGTCCATGCCGGATAGCTGAAAAACTCTCCGGTCGTGTATCAGGTCAAGATCACCGAAGGAAACAAAGATCCCATTTATAAGTGGGTCCACAGAAATCAGATCAAATTACACAAGGGTTCCGCCAATGTGGATGACGCTACCACCCATAAATCTGATGACCAAAACCGAGTCAACTCAAAAGGGGGGTGAATTTTCCATCCGCTCTCGCTCGGTTCTCTGTTTCAGGTCCCACAAGTTCTGTTGTGTGTGTGTGTGTGTGTGTGTGTGTGTGTGTGTGTGTGTGTGTGTGTGTGTGTGTGTGTGTGTGTGTGTGTGTGTGTGTGTGTGTGTGTGTGTGTGTGTGTGTGTGTAAAATTCATGTCTAAACGTGACATACAGACTCGGATGACTCTGTTGTGGTTCTGCTGTGTTCATAGCAGTTAACAGTGAGTAACTCCACAAACTGTTATGTTTACTCCAAATTCAATTATCATTTATTTTTCAATTCCTAGTGATTTAGATAATTTTGCAATTTTTAAACACTAAAAGACTGATTTGAGTCCATTTTATACTTCATTTTATCTACTAATCTCTAATTCCCACTGTGGTATATTCACATATAGGTTTGATTACTAACACTGATTTACATTTAAGTGTTTCATCTTCTTTATATTACTAGTAACTATATTATTGATTCATTTACAGAAAAGTTCACAGATATATTTCTGCATTATTTCATTACAGCTGATTTCTTTTCATCATTTCTGTTATTATCAATTTTATTTAGATTTTACCAGTTATGGCCTACAGATTATTTAGCCTTCTGTTTTGATAACATTTTTGCTCCAAGCGTTGATTTTCCTTAAACATATTATAGGGTTATGGTCATTTTGTTCTTTTTGCAACACTTTTCCTGTACACGTAGTTTACTGCAGCCATTTCTCTCACCTGAACTTCGTTCACATAATCTGCTTCACATAGCACATATAGGCACATATAGTGCTAGGTTTATTTTTGTTTGTCAGCTTGCATCAGACCCAGTCTATGTGTGTCTACATTGAAATGCCTTTGTCTGCTCTTCTCCCCTGGGTTCGCCTGTGGTCCTCGCTTCCTGGGAGGACCTCTCTCCACCATCGCCAGATTCGGCTGCCTGCTGCCTGGGGGTTCGGTTCGTGTGGGTCTGGACGTCCTGTGGTTCCTGCCGTGCTTACGGGAGCCTGGACCGTTCCCTGATCATCTGTTTCCTTTCCTGAGGATCCTGATAAGTGGATTACTTATTTTTTTAAGTTTGAGGAGCTACATTGACTATTCTCCGGTGTGGGGGGTTGCTTTTCTCACTCCAGGGACCTTTGCCTGGAAACTAACCTGCGCTTCCTCAACTGAGTCCCTAGGGCCTCTGACTTGTTCCAACGACCCGTGGTTTCTGCCAGTACCCCGTGTCCTTGGAAAGGGGGGTTCTGTCACGTCCAGCAATGGTCAGTTTTAGGTACAGTCTGACCTTTCAACATCTATTCAACATCTGGTCAGAAAGGAGACACAACACTGCATGTGTTCCCTTTAAATGAGCCTGCCTTCATACCAGCTGGGACCCACAGACTCTGCAAGTCTGAAAAATAAACAATAACTTTCTTTCCCAAGGTCCCATCTGGTTGCGTCCACAGAAGGAAGAATTCCAGCTCGAATCAATTGCTAAATTCAAGAATCGTCATCGTCGTCTTCCTCCGCTTATCCAGGTCCGGGTCGCGGGGGCAGCATTCCAACTAGGGAGCTCCAGACCGTCCTCTCCCCGGCCTTCTCCACCAGCTCCTCCGGCAGGACCCCAAGGCGTTCCCGGACCAGATTGGAGATGTAACCTCTCCAACGTGTCCTGGGTCGACCTGGGGGCCTCCTGCCGGCAGGACATGACCGAAACACCTCCCCAGGGAGGCGTCCAGGAGGCATCCTGACCAGATGCCCAAACCACCTCAACTGGCTCCTTTCGATCCGGAGGAGCAGCGGTTCTACTCCGAGTCCCTCCCGAATGTCCGAGCTCCTCACCCTATCTTTAAGGCTGAGCCCGGCCACCCTACGGAGGAAACTCATTTCGGCCGCTTGTATCCGCGATCTCGTTCTTTTGGTCATTGCCCAAAGCTCATGACCATAGGTGAGGATTGGGACGTAGATCGACCGGTAAATCGAGAGCCTGGATTTCTGGCTCAGGTCCCTCTTCACCACGACAGATCACCTCAGCGTCCGCATCACTGCAGACGCTGAACCAGTCCGCCTGTCAATCTCCCGATCCCTCCTACCCTCACTCGTGAACAAGACCCCGAGATACTTAAACTCCTCCACTTGAGGTAGGACCTCTCCCCCTACCTGGAGTTGGCAAGCCACCCTTTTCCGGTCGAGAACCATGGTCTCAGATTTGGAGGTGCATTCAAGAATGATTTCTTAAATCAATAAGAACTTCTTCCATGACTTATAATCTAGATATTCATTCAATAAACATTTGTTTATTGCTACTTACAATCATTATATTGTAATGAAATGCTTCATTAATCTGTGTTCAATAATTGTCATGTTATGTCTACAGAGACTGCCATGTGTTCAACATGTTTAGACAACGAGGTCCTCACACCTGCACTCACACAATAACAAGTAAGGTTAAGTTAAACTCCAACACATAGAGACTTTTAAACCAGCCAGAACATCCTGTATCATGAAGGCATTTTTCTGAGTTGTCTTGGTAACATTTCTCAAACTTGTCAGCCTCTGATTGGCTGTGCAAGTCATAACATCAAAACCTTAAAACTGGATCATCTTGAGTGATTCAACAGTTCTAGAGAATCCCTCAGACCGGCCATCTGTAGTAAACCTATTTAACCGTCAAAGATTGACACGTCGTCAACACCTTTTTTGCAAAGCTGGTGAGCAAACAGTTCCTGCAGAAACAAAACTGATATTGTTAGACTCCTTAAGAGTCCGCCAGACGCACAGTTACATCCAGCTGTTGTGACCCAAGACATCTCTGGACTGAAGAGTCGGTACCACGGTTTTCTACAGCCCTCCGGTGCCAGAGATCAGCCGACCCCTGCGACTTTCAGATCCACCAAGAGGGTCTCTCAAAAACAGGTGAAGTAGACATGACAGATTGCGTCTGATGTTCTTCTGATGATAACAACTTTATAGCTTAGAGCAAACCAAATTCTTTTCACCAGAACTCGGCTTTCTTAGATAAGGAAGCTCTGACTGACATCACATTCTCACATAGGTTCCTTCATCACGTTTAGTTACATCCACTCACAGTAAATGCTTAGTTAACTAGTCATGTTTTAATTGTTTGCAAAATAAATTCTCACTTTTATAAAACTGACCCTTTCTTGAAATAACACAAAGTGTGGTTAATCACTGAAAACGCAAAGAACCTAGATCTTCTGAATTAAAAGGACTTTACGGAGTTTTGAATTTTTAAGCGCGCGATTGCCCCCTCAGGCCAAAAGCGTAACGGCAGCTTCAATAGGAGGCTCGTGCACGAGGCGCGCATGCTGTACGTGCACACTCCTGAACGAAAATAACAGCTGAGACAGTCCCTTGTGTGTGTGTGTGTGTGTGTGTGTGTGTGTGTGTGTGTGTGTGTGTGTGTGTGTGTGTGTGTGTGTGTGTGTGTGTGTGTGGCCTGGAGGACAGATGACAGGAGAACGCACAGCTAATTAATTAAATAATTTGGTTCTGTACCTTTCTCTTCAGCACAGCTGACAAAGGTTTATGATGGGTCAGTCTCCCTGCATGCTCAGATCATTCCCTTCCCTTGCTTGAAAAATTGTTCCAAAATGAAAGTTGAACCCACATCTTTTTTATCTGTGAATTCAATGCCGTTCAGCGAGTCTCAAATAAAAATTGGGCAACTTACTGTAAAACATATACCATTAATGTAAAAAAGAAATTCTAAAACAGCTATGTTTACGTCCAGAGTCAAACCCAGGTCTTCTGCACGAGAGCCCGAAGCCTTACTAGGCGAGCTAAAGCGCCAGTGGCATTTCCTGTGTCTGTAACATTTATATGCTTGATGACAGCTGAAACAACATTCAAAGAACGGTTCGCAGGGCTAAGCCTGAGCGTAAACGCGCATGAAGCAGCCTGCTCGAACCGAGCAGCTCTCTTTTTCTGTGATTTTACAATAAAATGGGCAATCACAGTAAAAATGCCAGGGCTCATTCTACAGGACCAGGGCATTGCAGGAGAATGTATGAAGAAGAAATTTATTATTTCTATACATGTTTTGGCTGTCAAACTTCCATAATGCCCCTTTAAACCTAGAATCTTCTGATAATTACAATAAAGACCTTGCAGGTTGATATTTTATATTTATATATCATATTACATCTTCCTGGTCATAACAAATAAAATCATCAATTTGCCTACACTACACATCTGTCCCTAGTTCCATCATGTTTAATGCAAAACCCAGCATAATCTGCTTTGCCATAATTATCTTTGATCTTTTTTTAATACAATTTTTGCCAGTGTTTCAATAATTTTGTTTTGTATGTTGTGAGATGCGTATTTTGCATTTTCTGGGACGTGTTTGTTTATTTCATTAAAGCTGGAGTCTTTGGCCAGTGTGTAGTCAACCATTTTTAAGAACAGTTCTGCAGAGAAATCATCACCACAGGAGCTTTCCACAGTTCATTTACTGCTAGGAACTGAACTACTTCTCCAATTGTTTTTACATGGTATCTGTTTTTTTTTTTTCGATTTGAGAAGCAGCACCCGACGAGCCGCCTTCTGCCGCTAGTGCCTTAGCACTGTTGCTAGGTCTAGAAACCAGAAACCTACGCATGTCGACTCGGTTCACTTCAAAAACAAAAGAAGAGAACGAGGCAAACTAAAACCTTGAGAAAGAGTAACCAAATAATTCCAGTGACTGACAGCAGAAGAAAACTTCAACCAGTGGCTGAGCTCAGATAACAACAGTGCGTCTCTGTGTTCTGCTGCTGACTGTCTGGGAGCGTGTGAAGCGAGTGGCACGACAGAGAACGAAGTGCAGTGGCTGGCCACACCCTCCCTATGCATCAACCAATCAGCAGCTACTTTGAATGAGAGAGCGAGAGAGGAGGGCACTCTGACCCTTTTTCATCAAATCTTTTCAAATTTGGGATTTCTACATGTCATCGCATTTTGGGGGGGGGGGGGGGGGCAGTCACTATTTTTAGGGGGGCATTGCCCCTCCTTGCCCATGCCTACATCTGGGCCTGTTTGGGGTGACTTGCTCTTTAACATCAACAAAACCAAAGAGGTCGTAGTGGACTTTCGGAAGCAGCCTGACTTGCTCATTCTGTTGGGCAACAGTTGAGAGTGTACTGGCATACTCCATTTCTGTGTGCTGGCTGTCAGCAGCAGACAAAAATAGTCTTCAGAGGGTCAGCAGCAGAAAAGGTCATCAGCTGCTCACTCCCACTCCTGGACTCAACCTCCACCCAAAGGTGTCGGAGCAACGACTTTTATTACTGACTTGTTTGAAGCCTTTTAGCTAGCCGGGTTTTTCCACTTTGACTCCCCACAGTTCACCAGATCTAACGCTGTAGAGCCTATAAAGTTGTATTTGTGTTTTTAGCTTAGTGCTGTTTTTGAGAAAAAATGAATCACAAGAGAAAGTTTTTTTTGCTAACAATAAAATACCACAGTTTAATCTTTGAAAGAATTTACAGGAAGTGTTTTTACTGAGAAACTATCCCTTCTTCTCCTCGTTCGTTTCCTTAATACTGATATTCGCAAGAAATAAAAAAGCATTTACGATTTTGTTTCCAGCTTCTTTGTGATAAGTCATAGAAGATGGCACAAATTATTTATTCAGAACTTTTTAGCAAAATCCCACAACCGCACGTGTCCTTGTTGCCAACGCTAAAATGCTATTGTTTTATTTGCAGGAATAGCTGAATAGAATATACTTTATTACTTTCATAACAGGAAGTGTTTTAGTGTGTTTCCACTCCTCCTTCTTCTCCGTTTTCTTCTTAATATTAATATTCACAAGAAGTAAATAAAAAAGATTTTTACAGCTACTTTGTGGGAATAAGAGGCAAAATGTTCTTGACCAGAAACAAAGTGAGGTTCTCAATTGGCTCCACTAGAGGGCGCTAATATCACCTCACACATTTCACGTCAATAAAACTCTGAAGCCTTTTTTTGAAAGCTTGGGTTTTTATTTTGATCTCACACAACCATAAATAAAGTTTTATTTGTTTTTAGCTTAGCTTCAAATTTATCAAGATATGTTTAAGATGGATTATAATTAAACGTGTGTTCGTTTGTCGTTTCATAGTTTTCACACAAAACTATTCCCGTATAGAACGTCTTATCGATACAAAATTCGGTGTTAATGATCTGCTTTATGTTTGTTTTTCCTCCCCAAATGTTTAGTGTATGCGTAAAGTGACGCAGTACAACGCACGCGAGCAAATGTTGTTGCGCTGTGCGCTTGATTTTCTTCCCGACGTATCTGTGTGGGCGGTTACTTGAATGTTGACAGGTAAACGTTAGCAGGGCTTAGCATGATTTTGAGATATTATGGCGAAGAGACTGTCTCCCGTGGCAGATGATATGAGGGCAGCAGCTAAGTTTGCTTCAAAAGATAGAGCAACGGACATATTAATGAACGTATTTGTTGTTTAAAGTGGCGTAGTGATATTTGCTAGTAGTGGACGTTGCTAGTCTCGGCGCTAGCTGCGTTAGCCTGCCCCTGCTTAAGGCTACAAAACCGTCGGCTTCAGCTGAACTTCAGCCCTTCACAAATGTCCGACATCGCCGAGATGAGTCTGCCGGCTGAGTGGGGAGACGACGAGCGAATGAACTTTCTGTTCTCGGAGTTCAAGGAGAACCGAGACGTAAACACCACAGACTGGGACAGTAAGATGGACTTCTGGGTGGCTTTGATCCTGAAGAGCTGCAGGGAGCGCGGCTCTGTGCTGGTCAACCTGCAGGACCTCCACAAGACCTTCCGGAGGAAAGAGAAGTCCCCCCTGGGCTTGTCAACAGTCATCCAGTCCATGGCCAGGTAACTGTGGGTGTCAGCGGTGTGGCTGTTGGCTGTCAGGTCCCCTTCTAATGCCTGTGTCTTACCTTTGGACAGGTGTGGGAAGATCCAGAGGGAGCCGGAGTTTGCTGCTTCTGTGGACTGTGGGTGGGTGTCCTGGAGTGTGGGCATGCTGCTGGTGAAACCTCTTAAGTGGACCTTCTCCACTCTCCTAGGAGGTGGCCGGGTGCCTCTGGAAGAGTCTTTTGTTGTTCTTGAACTAGTGAAGGTGTGTGTGTGTTTCAGGGTTTGATTTCTGTACACCTTGGTCACCCAGCTGGAAAAAGGTGTTCACTTTCGCAGAGCTTTCCTGTTTTTACCTTTTTGTCACACTTAAATGTTTCAGATCAGACAACAACTTTAGGTTACTGTCGTAACCCCGGTTCTCTGAGTAACATGAGTGAGATGTCTCACTATGGGATACGCCCCTCCGCGGATTCCTCAGAAGCACTTATCTCAATACGCCAATCCTGATTGGCCAGTGACCGTGACGTACGCGTCCCCATGCTACTATAAGTAGCAAGCGTCCCAACGCACGCACTATTCAAGATAAACACCTCTTCTCGCTTCGCCCAGCAAGAAGGGTTGTCTGGTGAGACATCTCACTCATGTTACTCAGAGAACCGGGGTTACGACAGTAACCTAAAGTTCTCTTTCTTAACATTCGTTTCGATGTCTCACTATGGGATATAGAGACTCCCGTATTGCCAGACAGCTTATCCAGCGATCACCAACCTACAGGGATACGTCTTGGCCCGCCAAAGACCCCACACTCAGAATCGTGTGAGTCATTGCAGGGACCGAAACATCAAGCTTATAGAAGCGTGCAAATGCAAGTGGAGAAGCCCAACTTGCTGCAGCACAAATCTCCTGGATTGACAGCCCCCGAAAAAGGGCCCAAGAAGCAGACAGGCCCCTAGTAGAATGGGCCCTGAGCCCAACAGGAGCCTGAATGCCCTGACAGGAGTAAGCCATAGAAATAGCCTCCACAATCCAGTGGGAAAGCCTCTGCTTTGTGACGGGTTTCCCCTTACGAGGCCCACCCCATGACACAAAAAGCTGGTCCCCCCTGCGAAGGTTCTTTGTCCGATTCACATACTCCTTGAGCGCGCGAATCGGACACAGCTTGTGCCACCGCTCCTCCTCAGGAGAGGAGAAGGGCGGTGGGTAGAAAGCTGTGAGGATAATAGGAGAAAAGGAGCCCACCACCTTAGGCACAAAGGCAGGGTTGGGCTTCAAGGACACCTTCATGTCACCTGGTGCAAACTGGGTGCAGGATGGGTGCACAGAGAGAGCCTGTAAGTCACTAACTCGCTTTGCAGATACCAAAGCCAGGAGTAGCACCACCTTAAGAGACAGGATCTTAAGGTCCAGGCCGTCCATAGGCTCAAATGGAGGCCCGGAGAGGGCCGACAGCACCAAGGACAGATCCCATGAGGGCACCAGGGGTCGAGACACAGGGAGAAGCCTGCGCGCGCCCTTCATGAAGCTACACACCAGGGGGTGTTGACCTGCCAATTTCTTCCCAAAACCCAAGTGTCGGGCGGAAATGGCTGCTAGGTACACTTTAATGGTGGAGAAAGCCTTCTTCCCATCCAACAAGTCTTGCAGGAAAGACAGAATGACGTTCACCGGGCATTGGAAGGGTGAGACCTCCCTGCCCTGACACCAGGCTTCAAACACCCTCCATTTACAGTCATATAGGGACCTAGTGGAGGGGGCCCTAGCATTCTGAATGGTTCGAATGACTGCCTGGGGCAGCTCTGCTGACACTAGTCCGCACCCCTCAGGGGCCAGGCCCACAGGGCCAGCCGTTCTGGATGAGGGTGGAAGATCGAGCCTCCCGCTTGGGACACCAGGTCCCTGCGAAGCGGCAGTTTCCAAGGTTGGCCCTCCAGGAGCTGGAAAATGTCCGCCACCCAATGCATGGCTGGCCAGAATGGGGCCACCAGAATGAGAGTGTGGCGCTGGGTTCGTACCCTCAGCAAGGTGGATGGTATCAGGGCCACTGGGGGAAAAGCGTAAAGCAGACCCCGTGGCCAGTCGTGCGCCAGCGCGTCCACGCCGAGTGGAGCGTCTCGGTCGCGCAGGGAGAAGAACAGAGGACACTGAGCATTCTCCTTGGAGGCAAAAAGATCCACTACGGCTGTGCCGAACCGGATCCAAATCTGTTCCACCACTGCTGGATGCAGTCTCCAATCCCCGTACAGGGGTGTCCCTCTGGACAACAGATCCGCCCCCCGATTCAGAACACCCGGGACGTGGGTGGCTCTGATTGAGAGGAGATGCCTGCTGCACCATAGGATCAGTCTGCGTGCCAGTGTGTGTAACCGCATGGAGCGCAGCCCCCCCTGGCGGTTTATATATGCCACAGTCGTGGTGTTGTCTGTTCTCACTAGGACATGATGGCCGGACAGAAAAGGCAGGAAGCGCCTCAGGGCCAGAAAGACCGCGAGGAGTTCCAGATAATTTATGTGTGTCCCCCAGAGCTCTCTGCTCCACACACCCCTGACAGAGCGACCCTCCAGGAGCCCCCCCCAACCTGACAGGCTCGCATCTGTCGTGACCACTTTCCTCACGAGAACCAACCCCAAAGGCACCCCTTGTGCCAAGAGGGAGGGGTGACGCCAACAGCGGAGCGCCGCGACGCACGCTGCAGAGACCGTCACCCTGCGCGCTCTGTGGCGCACTGGAGAGAGACCCAGAGAAGCCACCCAGCGTTGAAAATCTCTCATGTGTAGACGGCCGAGTGGTACCACTGAAATAGCCGACGCCATGAGACCCAAAAGCCTGAGGCATAACGCAAACCGCACCGAACTCTGTAGGCGGAAGCGCGCCAGGCAGAGCGAGAGCGCGTCCACGCGCGGTGTCGAGAGACGGGCCGTGAACGCCCCTGAGTCCAGATTCAGACCTAGAAAGGTTATTTTCTGGGAGGGGAGTAAAGCGCTTTTCTGCCAGTTTATTCTGAAACCCAAACCACACAAGTGACGGATCACAACCAGCGTGTTTGACGCTGCCTCCTCTCTGGACCGTGCCAGCAGGAGCCAGTCGTCTAAATATGTGGCCAGTCGAATGCCCCTCCCTCTCAGAGGGGCGATCGCCGCCTCCGTACACCTGACAAACACCCTCGGGCTCAGCGAGAGGCCGAATGGGAGCACGGTGTATTCGTAACACACTCCCTGAAAGGCAAATCTCAGAAATTTCCTGTGTGGAGGGTACACGGGAATATGAAAGTATGCGTCCCTCAGGTCGATTGAGGTGAACCAGTCGTTCTGGTGAATCAGACGCAAAAGGGATGAGAGCGTGAGCATTTTGAATCTGTACTTTCTGAGGCATCGGTTCAGGGCCCTCAGATCCAGGATCGGGCGAATCCCGGTCCCTCCCCGTTTCGGGACCAGGAAGTACCTGGAGTAGAAACCGCTCTGAGACCGATCGGGAGGCACAATGCATATCGCTCCCTTCTCCAGCAGGGAGGAGATTTCTCCCTGAAGGATGTGAGCTGACGACCCCTGGGCGTGGGAGAACACTACGCCGGAGAATCGAGGAGGAACTGAGGCGAATTGGAGCCTGTAACCCCTCGAAATTGTTCTTATCACCCAATGTGAAGCAGAAACCGCTGTCCATTCCTCCATGTGAGTGGAGAGCGGTGACACAGCCGTGACACACGGAGCAGCAGCTCCCTCCAGAGGTTGTGGGGCAGCAGTGCTCGTGGCAGCCACTGCGCATGCGCGGGGGCTTTGTGCTTTGACGGCCCAGGTGTACGGGGACGACCCGTGGCTGGCTAGAAAGTCCGCCAGGGGCCGACCCCGCCTGGGACCGCTCATGGGTAACATTTTTATTGATTTTTGCTGCGCCCTTGACATTTTGTCTGGATGCGGCAGCGAACGTTTTAATGCTCCCTGAGCGTGACATGTTTGTGAAAAACAACAATGTGAGTGCTTGTGACGTGTGTTCTGAGCCGGCACAGCCGGCTGCACGTCCTGGCCCCACCCTGGACCGCTCGGGGACTCTGCCGGAGGGGTTCCGTGAGGGGGGGAGAAAGCACCATGGTAACGTTGAACAGGAGGGGCTGGCGAACGGGGAACTGCCAGCTGCAGCGTCGGGAGGGAAAGAACTCCGTCAGGCTGCCCACTTCTTCTTCCTCACCTGCTGACCGCCGGGTCGGTGGATTGTCCCGGCGGCGGAGCAGCTTGGTTGCCGGATCGCTGAGGCCACACTGGTCGAGGCGCTGAGCCAGAGGGAGCTGGTTGGACAGCTTGAGGCTTCGGGCGCTTTGGGATCCGGAACTGAGGCTGGGCTCGGGGTATTGCCTGAGGAAGGTTCGGCCGAGCCGGCAGTGCCGGTGAAGGTTTACGGGGAAGGCAGAGATGAAGGGCTTCATCCTCTTTCTTTTTGGCCTCACACCGTTGCTGCATCGATGCCAGGGCAGAGCCGAAAATGCCTTCAGGCACGATTGGCATGTCCAAAATGTCCTCCTTCTCTCTATCAGAGAGGTTGGTGAGGTTCAGCCAACGTGCACGTTCCTGAAGCACCATCATGCCCATAGCTTTCGCCGTAGCATGGACCGCGCAGCGCTGCACACGCAGGCAGATGTCGGTCAGTACGGTGATTTCCTCCCACACCTCCGGGTCCGGCTTCGTATTCATGTCCTCACAGAGCTCGGCTTGGTACGCTGAGAGCATGGAGGAGACATTCAAAGCTCGGACCGAGATGGCGGCAGCCTTGTACGCCCTCTCGTTCAGCGCCGACTGGAAGCGGTCCGCCTTTGCAGGGAGAGCGGGAGGCCTGGAGGAAGTTGCCGAGAGTCGTGGGTGCAGGTGGGCTGCAACCAGCGGTTCCATCGGCGGCATGCGAAGCATGCCAGCCCTCTCCATCCCCTCGAAGTCCAGCGAGGAGGCTCCTTGGACCGGAGACCTTGAGCTGAAAGGGTGTTTGTCCCAGGAGGACCTCACTTCTTGGAGAAGCTCCGGGAAGGCGGGAAGGAGGGGCTTTGCCGCCCTTGTGGCCTGAGGCAGCTTCTTACCCTCGTAGCGGGACCTGACAGCCTCAGTGACCACGGTGGGCCAAGGGATGTTGAGCCTGGTCGCAGCGCGTCGGCAGACTGACTGCATGTCCAGGTGGGCGGCCGGAGAAGCCGCTCCATCCCTGGGAGAGGACGGAAAGCTAGGCATGGAGGCCTGAGCGACGGGGAGAAAGACGTCGTCATCCTCGTCCTCCTCTGAAATGAGGAGTTCCGAGGTGTCCTCGTCGTCTCCGTAGTCCAACTCCAACACGTCCTCGACGGGGTGGCACGGACCGGCCAGTTTGAGCTGTGAGCCCCAGCTGAGTTCGGCACACGGTTCCGGCTCCGGGAGGGCATGTTCGCTGGCGTCCCCAGGCGGTGGCCCAGGGGCCGGCAGGCAAGGGTCCTTCCCCGACAGGCTAGCTTGGCGCGCTAGCCGCCGGCGAAGGCTCTTCAGGGTGAAGCAGGCACAGTTCTCACATGACCCGGGGACTTCCAATGCCAGCTGGGCGTGTTCCAGCCCGAGGCAGCTCGAGCAGACCCTGTGCGGGTCTTTGCTTGAGATTTTGTTCCCACAGGTACAGAGGCGAGCTCCTGAGCCATCGACTCCTCTGGTGGGAGGAGCGGCTTCCATGTTGGCTAACTGGTGTGTTAGCAGAGAGCGAACAGGTGCACTGGAGTGTGAAGCTGCTCGTTATGCCCCGAACCTATGGTGAATGTCAGGACAGAAGGATGGTAAGTTAACGTTCGGCGACGGAGAGAATATTAGAAGGCTCCGTCTGTGAACAGTTGAGCTAACTTACCTCAGAGATAAGCGACCACCGAAGCGAGAAGAGGTGATTGAATAGTGCGTGCGTTGGGACGCTTGCTACTTATAGTAGCATGGGGACGCGTACGTCACGGTCACTGGCCAATCAGGATTGGCGTATTGAGATAAGTGCTTCTGAGGAATCCGCGGAGGGGCGTATCCCATAGTGAGACATCGAAACGAATGTTAAGAAAGAGAACAACAATAGTCTGTGTGAATGCAGAATGCAGCTTTCAAATGATGATTTAATTTATCAAAACCAACCTGGCCCTATCTGGAAAAGTAAGCGAAACCTGAAAACTAGCTATAACTCCAGTTAGTGGTTGTAACAAGTCTCTCACACCATGGGAGGAGCTTTGTTGACTGATGGCTTTTCAGCATGAAAGGTCATTTATGGCCTTGTCCTGTAGCGCCCTTGAGCTGAAGGTGACATACCGACAGACCTTTTCCTTCAGGAGTTTCTGGTGGAGAACTGGATTTATGGTTCCATCAGTTACCAAAGTTATCCTGAAGCAGCAACAACAAATCATCATGTTACTTCCACACCAGATGGAACGGGACACACACCTTCCAGAAAGTTTCACTTTTGTTTTATCGGGCCACAGAACATGTTTGGGATCATCCAGATGTTCTTCTGCCTCTGCATGGTTTTGAGTCAGCAGATGTTTCGGCTTTAGATCTCTCCTACGTAGGTAGCAGTTAGTTTTTCTCACAGGGCAAGGTTGGTGAGAGTATATTTTTCTCTTCTAATAAACAAAATCACCATTTAAAACTGCAGCTTGAGTGTGGCAATAAAAGCCAAATAGTAGAAATATGTAAGGAGGTGAAAACGTTTAAAGCACAAACCAAGTCAGCAGTTTTTGTTAAGAGTTGGTTCAGAGTTCAGCACTTCAATTCTAACCTGTTTTCGGCGCAATACATTACATTTGATCATCTGTTAGATTTTTAAATGGTTTTCCAGGAGAAAGCAGCAGAACTACTCGGGGTTTACCAGAGCAGTGAGTATTCCAGCTGCCCTGTCGTGTCATTTCAAGAGCTCTGTAGTCTCTCTTCTGACATCTGTGCTGATGAGAGCACACTCTGCATGGCGCTCCTGCAGCTGCAGAAGGACAAGCAGGTCATAGTTTCCTTACATGAAGGAGAGAAGGTAAATCTGTCACTGTGAATACAACTGTTTTCATAAGAATGCAGGAATTATTATTGTTATTATTATTTTGTTCTGCAGATTGTTAAATTCTGTCAGCCGGGACAGGAGCGTGTGTCTGCTCTTGGTGATGTGGACATTGGCGTCTACCAGCTGCAGCTCAGTGAAAAGCTGCTGGGGGAACGCGTGCAGAAGCTGAGCCTGGAGGCTGACCGGTACGATATGGACGCAAACCTCAATCAGGCATTTGTCCGCATGTCATATGTTTGATTGTTTTTTAGATCAAATGGATGAACTGAATTCAGTGCTACACTGACCTGCTCTCACTCAGAATCATTTACACGCAGGTGCCGAGAGGAGGCCAGACTTCTGCTGCGGGAGGGGAAGAAGTCACAGGTTATTAACGACGCTGCGTTTACAAACAGAAATAAGGATGTAACCGAATGCATCTGAGTAGTTTGTTCATGTGGTCCTCCATCTGTGTGCAAGGCGCTGAGGTGTTTGAGAGGCTGCAAGAGGCTAGAACAGAGAGCAGACAGCCTGCTGGCCAAGTTAGAGACGATCAGGGGGATTCTGGACCGGATCGCTCAGTCCCAGACTGATAAGATGGTAAAGAGCTGCATTTACAGTCCCGCCCACAGCGGTGTCGTCTAATGTTGATAACTAAGGGTTCTGCTGGGTGTGTATGTAGGTAGTGCAGGCGTATCAGGCTGGAGTGGCCGCCCTCAGGCTCTCTCTAAAAGACGTGACTGTGGAACGTGCAGAGTGCCTCGTGGATCAAATACAGGAGGTGTGCGCTTGTTATTTTAATGGTTAATCATCTCTTCTATTTATTCTGAGGTTTTTTTTTCTACATTACAAACAGCTATGTGACACTCAGGATGAGGTGAACCAAACTATTTCCAGCGGTGTGACAGCTGCAGGTACGTGTCTGTGTTTATCCGTAACCTACCCGTAAACATCCCAGTGTTGGCTTCTGATGCTTTTGTCTTTTAGACGAAGGCATGGACGGGTTGGAGGAAGAGCTGAAGTCTTTGTTAGATGAGTCGAAGCCAGATTTTGTGTCCGGTTTTCCCACGGTTCCGACAAAGGTTCTGGGACCCTCCAGCGATCTGGTACTCGGCTCTCTTCCCGCCGTACCTCACGGCAGCTTGAACACTTCCACTGGCGAGCTGGAGGACGAGCTGAATTGGTTAACTCTGACAGATTCAGGTTGGACACGTTCCCATTCCTGTTTCTCTCCCTACCAAGCCCTTGGGGTTAACCTGATCAACTTTCTGCTTTCAGGCTTCCAGCAGAAGAAAGTGAAGTCACCAGAGAAGAGACTGGAGCCTGCCCAGTGACGGTCAGCGGAGATATGACGGCTCTGGAGATCTCCTTCAGTTCGCTTTCAAAGTCCATATGTTTCCATTCAAGTAAAAAATATCCCTTAATAATTGAAATCAGGGTCAAAACAAAGCACCTTATCTGCTTTTAATTAATAAGTGAATACATTTACTGTGGAGGCATGCTAAGTCAGACTTTTAAAAGTATAAACTGCACATTAATTATACTTTTACTCCAAAAACAGGAAGACTGTTACTGAGCCTGACAGGAAAACAACCAAATTAAAGGTTCATAGTTAATATTTGTTTCTGTATGTCAGACAGATGTGTAAAAGTGGCCTTGTGAACTGTACATAAAACCTAAATAGTTAAGAGAATGCCAAAAGATTGATTTAAACTGGGTGTGTCTGTGCGTCTCACCTGTGAGAACTTAGAAACCTCCCTGAGGACAAGTTCATCAAACATGTTTGTCCAAATAAAATGTATTTAAATCCCTTCCTGCTTGGTGTTCTTGCACTGCCTCAGTCGAGCGCCTCCATCAGAGCTCTGTAAGGAGGCAATTACATTTATGTAGAATGTCACCGCTGTCATAATGTTGGTTTCTTCTGGTATTAGAAACAAATCTCCAATGATTTATTCTAGTAAATAAATAAAAGCAACTATAATGCCCTCCTGGTGTTATGCCTGTTTTAGTTGTGAGTATTAAAGTCACACTAGGTTACAATTGTGCATTAGTGACCTTAGATTTCTGAATCTATTTTAATCAGAGGGACCTCTACTGGCTGCTGGTGGATTTACTGTCTGATGAGATTCACCCTCATGCAGACTTTTATTAGCAGGGTCTGAGGTGATCTGAAGATACTCGAGTATTTACCTGGATGATGCTGAATAATCTGACCGGAAAAGGGTGGCTTGCCAACTCTGGGTCAGGAGAGAGGTCCTACCTCAAGTGGAGGAGTTTAAGTACCTCAGGGTCTTGTTCACGAGTGAGGGTAGGAGGGATCGGGAGATCGACAGGCGGATTGGTTCGGCGTCTGCAGTGATGCGGACGATGAGCCGATCTGTCGTGGTGAAGAGGGAGCTGAGCCAGAAAGCCAGGCTCTCGATTTACCGGTCGATCTACGTCCCAATCCTCACCTATGGTCATGAGCTTTGGGTGATGACCGAAAGAACGAGATCGCGGATACAAGCGGCCGAAATGAGTTTCCTCCATAGGGTGGCCGGGCTCAGCCTCAGAGATAGGGTGAGGAGCTCGGACATTCGGGAGGGACTCGGAGTAGAACCGCTGCTCCCCCGGATCGAAAGGAGTCAGTTGAGGTGGTTTGGGTATCTGGTCAGGATGCCTCCTGCTGGACGCCTCCCTGGGGAGGTGTTTCGGGCATGTCCTGCCGGCAGGAGGCCCCCGGGTCGACCCAGGACACGTCAGAGAGGTTACATCTCCAATCTGGTCCGGGAACGTCTTGGGGTCCTGCCGGAGGAGCTGGTGGAGAAGGCCGGGGAGAGGACGGTCTGGAGCTCCCTAGTTGGGATGCTGCGACCCGGACCCGGATAAGCGGAGGAAGACGACGACGACAATGCTGAATAAATGCATCATTACAGGCAGACTCATGTGGAAGAAGCTTATTTTCACTGCAGCACAAATCGTCACCGGTGGATTGTGACCTAAAGCTCTGCATCTGTATAAAGATTTAAATGATCACATTTAATGTGTGTGTGTGTGTGTGTGGGAGCTGGCTAGGGTCCTCGAAGGAAACAGTCTGGGAACCACTGACCTAAGGGACTGAATCATGGATGGATCGGCTCATATGGATGAATACACACAAGAACATTCTTGATTAAAAGAATAAAGTAGCAGCTGCTTTTGCAATTCTGGCTAGTTTTCACCAATATGGCTGATAAGCAATCATTTAAAATGTGGAACAAATACGAGCCAATGCCTCCATATCTGATCTGGAAGCAGCTACCGATTGCACAACTAAATGGACAGCACCCTGATGAAAACCCTTCAGTACTGGGTTTTCTCCAGCAACTTCAGACACGTCCGGTTTCTACCAGCAGATGATCGGCTCCATGCTAAAGGTCATCTCCTTATTTTATCTTTGTTTTGATAGTTACCTATCAATCGCTGTGACACGGTTATTTTACTGTGGACGCTTAAAGATGTTGATGCAAATCCCACAAAGGGGTTCTGTTAGTTTTCATCCCATGCAAAACAATCCAAACATTTTTGTTAAACTTGTTAAAAAAAGACAAGTAATCAAATCAGAAATGTTATAAAAAGCATTGCTTTATTATATCGATGACATGTCATCTTATTGTGAAAAGCAGGCTATTAAGAGACGTAATCACACTGGCGGTGCAGTACCTACAGAGTATCTGAGCTGCTGTGTTTTCTATCTTCTATATGAAACAATAATTTAAAAAAGAAATCATTAGAAATTCACAGCCTTTCAAAATGACAATATCACAAAATCCTGGTAAAGCAGCCTTTTAAAAATGCCCTTGTATGACAAACGGCATCAGTGGATTTTGTTTCAGCCAAAGCCAAAATCTCCCATCAAACTTCATCATTTTTCTCACACTCACACGCACACACACTCGTACACAAAGTTCATCGTCAGTTCATTTAGCATTAACACACATCTGCTGGTTTCCTCCAGTCAGCAAAGGAAACGTTCAAACCGGCACCCTGGAAAAGTTCAATTGCACATGATGCAGCCTCTACCTACGGTTATATGATACAGACATCAGGAGCAGACGGACATTCTAGATCTAGGAGGTTCAGCTTCGTTACCCTAAGCAGCTGCAGACGTGGTGCAACATTGCCTTGGCGTGTTCAGCCTCGTTGAAAAGATGGAGATATGTAACGTCCTCACAGCTGACCGTTACGGCAGGCACTGATGCAGATATTTGGCTGGGAATTAGTCGTGTGCTCCACAAACGACAAAAACAAAAGAGAGGAAAATGCAAAGATGTGTATAGTACAATCTGAACAGTTGAGACACATTTGGCATGCTTTACTGTGAATTAAATAATAATAAAAAAACTCCTGGAACAGCACAAAATGATATATTTGTTTATAACGCAGTGTTGCATCAAAAGCAGGCTACACAGTGGGTCAGGCTCCGTAATGTTCATGTGGTCTACTTTGTTTACACTAGGATCAGATGCATAAACAATGCATGCACACAAAACCCACACATACACAAAAATGCTGTTTCTGTATGGAAGACTGCAGCGTGCATCATTCATCAGTGGCTCATGGTTTTAGAGCCATCCTCATCGTAAACGTGAAAATGATCTGTGTGAATGGGGGTGGGTGGCTGTCGGGTGACTTTGGAAGACCTTGTTAGAGACCTCAAAGCGAACAGTGAATGGAGGATTTAACAACAGCCACAAATCATCTCCGTTTAGAGAGTCAGAGAGAAAGTCAAGCGACTGGCTGCGAACAACAGCATGTACAACTCAAACCTGACGAAGCTCACAGTGCACACGCCCCAGAGCTTCACCACCAGGCACTCATTAGCACAAGCAGTGTGGAAGATTTTGGTTTCAGTCACACTTTTCAAATGAATACGATTTGTCCTGTTCAGGTCAGAGCTGTAGAAGACTCGGGAATCGGTATGAATCGGTGCATCTTTAGTTCAGTCACAACAAAGTCAGGATCTCACCGAGCTGGAGACACAATATTGTGGGAAAGAGTGTAAATCTTCATTTGGACTCAAACTGATGCGGTACACACCACACGTCTGTGTTGCACCTGATGAGGACATAACAGCAGCAAACAGTTTGTGACCTTCGTACTAACGCTCCTGTCCCAACTCAGCCATAGTGTTCCACTTATGTCGTTTTACCTTCTACCGCGTTTCCAACTGCTTCTAAGGTCGGCTCACATTTCCTGCACTGTGCGCCTCGAAGAAACGAGATGTGTTCGATGCAGCCTCGACACGTCTGTCAATGTTTTCCAGTGAGGTACAGCCATCATACGCCTGCTTATACATCCGTGGTTATTTACACCAAAGAAGCCTTGTTAAGTGTTTTCAGCTGACTGGTGCAAAAGCAAAGCAGTGCAAAAGTTCCTTACGTTCCTAGATCGGCTCTCCTGACTAGCTCTTAGCTTCTCTCTTCTTTCTCCCAGCTGTTCTAACAGCTGTCTACTGCAGGTAAGACACCGGCTCTTCACAACTACTCCACAAAGTCGGAACCATCCATCCGAGGTTGGAACCATTAATGAAAGACTGTTGGATCTTGGCTCGTGTGCAGCTTGACTTTGAAAAGTAGGAGTTGCCAGATTCCTTCGTTCACCTTCCCATTTATCCTGAATCAACTCAAATCCTATTGATTTTCAACTCCTATTTTTATGTGTAGTTAGTTGTTTTTATGTGCAAATAATAAAATCAGGATATCTGTGTTCATTCACAAAAGAACAAAAACTAGAAAAGAAAGGAAAATGTTTTTGTGCAAATTTATAAATCATCAACAATATTGAATATAAGAACTACAGAGTTTTATGCATCTGGTCCTAGGTGTGTGACTGCGTTCACATCTTAAACTGTCCTGTCAGCTCCAGAGTGCTTCTGCACAACCTTGTCCTCGTTGACCTGGTCCACAGCCAGGGTCTCCAGCTCTGCTTGCATGGCAACAGGAGGGGTGCTGTGTGAGATCCGATGAGCCACTCCCACGTGAGCTCTGTGCTGACGATCCCGAGCCGGGCTGTGACGGGGACTTGCTGTAGCACCTAGAGGAGGGATGGGGGAGCGATCCGAGCTGATTGGAGGGATGACGGCAGGTCGCTCACGCACCACCTGTGGTTCTGGAGACTTTCTGCCTGCCTGCAGGAATGGTGTAGGGTCAGGCATGGCATCAACAGTTTCTCGTAGAACCAGCCGCCTGCCGTCCGGGCCCAGGCGGTATACCTCGGTCAGCTCTGGGTGAAGAGGCTGGGAGAGGCTCTTCTTCATGCGGCGGCGAGGCGTTTCAGGCTGCTTGTCTTTAGCGGGTGGAGGCGTGGGTTTGTAGGAGGAGATGGGGCTGACATTAGGACTTGCCTCAGAAGAACTGCCAGCTAAAAGCTTTTTTTTTGTAGCATGAAGTTGCGAGGTAAGGTAGGCGATGGTGCTGGCTCTTTGCTCCAGCTCTCCAGACAAAACAGCCAACTTATGGCTCTTCATCTTAAGCTCCTCCAGATACTTCTTCTCCCTCTCTTTGATGGTGTTTTCCAGAACAGAGATCATGGCATTCTTTTGCTCCAGGTCCCTGAGCAGCTCTGTGTTCTCTTCCTCCTTCTTCTTCAGCTGGGCCTCCAGCTCCTCACACCTCCTTTGCAGCTCCCTGCATCGTTCTTCACTGCTGTCTGAACACACAATCAAAACAAAACCACAGATGTTGCATACATGTAATAAAAACAGCACATCCAGGTCTAGACCTGGACCTGTCCCCACAGCCTTTCACCTCATGAGTTTTAAAGTGATATCGCTTTATGGTAAAAAAAAAAAAAACGATGGATGTTTATCTGTTTTGGTCAAAACGTCAAACTGTGATGTTTTAAGTGCAGTGCTTTCTAAAATGTAAACTCTAGTGTGACCGATTTCCTTCATCAGTATATAAAACAGACAGTCAGCTGATGGAGACGGTGTGGTCTGGTGGAGACCCATTTACAGCAAGCAGAGAGCTTCTGTCTCACATTACAGCTATGCAGAGAACCACACCTAACCCCCACCTTATTGCAGTGTGAACACACACACACACACACACACACACACACACACACACACAGTATTGTATAAGAAACATGGAGCATATGTGTATTAAGCACACAGGAGACTTTTTTTTCCTTCTCCACTATACGTTTCACTTCTTAAACTCAGAATCCAATCAAACAAAAGGATGATGTTAAAATGAGTATTGCATTATCCAGAGGGGGTGCATCTGCAGCCCAGCTGGCGGCTGTGCATTAGTGCTGTGACAGATAATCTCATTTCCTGCACTCAAATCTCTCAGATGTCCCATGCCAACATGAATGGAGGCCTGAAGAATATGGATCCAGTACAGCTCTGTGGAAAGTCCTAGAACACTGGTGATCTTGCTGTGCTGTAACTGGGCCTGAGGCGGACCAACGATATCACATTAGGTGTGTGTGATCTTTAACTAAAACAAAGTCAAACTGAACGTTTCTCACACATCAGAAGAAGGATGGAGGGTGACAGCGCTCACAGCCAGACAGCCATCAGTTACCGCTAGCATCAGATTAAATCATTAATAAGACAAAAGTGATTCCAGTTTTTGTGCCTTTGTTCCCTCCAGACAATTCCTGCCTCCAACATAGGCTCGTATAACCACCTACTCACCAGCACTAGGGCTGCTTGGGCTAAAAAATCACAACAGAAATTATATTGGTCATTAATCTTTAACTCAGAATGCTGCAGTCATAAAACGCCCCCAACATCCACAGAAAGGCTCACTCTGCAGTGCACACACACACACACACACACACACACACACACACACACACACACACACACACACACACACACACACACACACACCATCTTTATTTTCTCTGACTTAAAATTTCAGGAAAAGAAGTGTGAAACTTTGACCTTGTGAAGGGAAGACCAGTGAGAGCATGCTTGCCAAGCTGAATGTGAAAATTAGAATATGTTCCACAGATTGTTTGGAGCCTAAATTAAAATTAACAGAACAGCCCCAACCAGCAACCTTCATCATATTTATTAGAAATAAAGTGATAAAATCTATAGACTCTGAAGAAACTAACTAAAAAGTTACTTTTGCTTATAAATACATTCACACCTTTTTATTTCTAAGGATTTTTCCTGCAGTGTCAAAAATTGTGATGCGTATCACGTATGTTTGTCAGTAACACTACTGAGTGTTATACTATTAGGCCAGCGATAAATACATCTGAAGAGTTTTCTTCATCAATTAGGAAAAAGTAGGTGTTTGCCAGTCTGTGTGTGTGTGTGTGTGTGTGTGTGTGTGTGTGTGTGTGTGTGTGTGTGTGTGTGTGTGTGTGTGTGTGTGTGTGTGTGTGTGTGTGTGTGTGTGTGTGTGTGTGTGTGTGTGTGTGTGTGTGTGTGTGTGTGTGTGTGTAACAGCATGAGCTCACCTGAGGGGTCGGAACTTCTCACAGTGAGCTCATACGTCAGGTCTGTGATGAGGAAAGATGAAAGTTACTCACATGTTACAGGAAGTTGGAAAAGCTCAGCTATCAAACACAAACCTCCTCAGACAGGAGCAACTCTATGTTTTGAATGAAAATAATCAGTGTTTTTATATATCAAAGTAATAATTATGTTGCAAATTATCAAAGGAGTTCTAGAATGTCCCAGTTTACCACCCAGGTAAACCAAGCCAGAGCTGACCTGTGCACTGCTGCTGTAGCCTGCGGATCTCTGTGTGCAGCCCCTTCAGTGTGCTAGCATGGTCCTGCTGCAGGAAAAGCAGGTTTTTCTGTGCGCTGTGCAGCTGGTTTTCCAGTGTAACATCGACAGAAGCCATGATGGTTTAAGTTCAGACCAACGACGACTCAGAACCTTGACATGGAGATGAAAGAAAGAGCAAAAAGATGAAAGGAAAAGAGAGAGTGTTAAACGTCAAGAAGACATGTTGTTAGCTCTCTCCTATTCAGGAAAGGCACCCTTGGTTTTTCTTTATATAAATAGGAATTGTAAATGGTTGTGCTACCAGAGTGTTCAGCAAGACATTCAAAACACATCCCATTTAAAAGGGACGAGCCCTGATCACACCACAGCACATGACTAATGCAACCCCCAACTGTCTCCACCTCTGGGCTCAGGAGCATCCCCATCATCCCAGAACAAAGGGCCCAATATGGTGACCCACCCTAACCCTAACACACAGAATGGGCTAGAACAGCCCTGATCCATGACCTGTGTCTCTCCCTCGTCACCTGAAGACACACGCCTCATCATAGCTGCAGCAGATGAGCTCACAAAGGATTCTTGTAATTACCTGAACAGTGATTTAATCACAAACGTGTATTTCATAAAGAATTTAAACTTTTTATTTCACAAAGACAGCCCTTCCTGCCACACAAAGATTCCATTTAGGATTTAAAACTTGACAAGTAACTATAATCTCAAAGCTTAATGTCCAGGGTGAGTATTCATACCTTCCTGTCTTCACAAGATGCCCTTGTCTCCTTCACAAAACCACAAAAATAAAGATTCTCTAAGTCCAATGATCTCAACCCTGTCAGACTCCACTATCAGAGAATGCACATTGATCCATGCATAACGCCCCTCCGCTGTAGAGACGCCTCTCTCTGCATACATAAAACATCCCAGAGCGTCTCACTCTTACATCATCAGCTCACTTACATGAATAATACATCCCATGACACCTGGCAGAACATGCTCTGTAGTCTCAAGGGTAGTCCAAGCATTTTTTACAACTTTGAGAGGAGAAGAAAAGACACGCTTTTACTGAAACCCAGAGTGGTATGAACAAATGCAGCCAGTCGTATGTCAGAAAGGGGAGGGGATAATCTATTATTGATGAGTAATGTGGAGCCCTTCCGGTAAACCCTGAGCTGCAAGCATATCTGTCATCCCACCGCTTTCCTAGAATAGCTCAGAAAGCTTTCCACTTGCAAAGACATGACCTCAAACAACTTCACCGCCAACATGCCAGTATTCTTTAATGGGGACACATGCAAAGAATAGAGGACAACTTCAGTGATTTTAAAGCAAACATGAAAAGAGAAACAGTACCATGTAAGATGCCCATTTTCTTATTTGTTCTTAAAATGCGGTTGTCTAATTATGATTTTATTAATTAAGTGAAAAGTTATCCAAATCAGCCAGGCCCTATGCATGAAAAGTAAACTTAGCTGGTTGTAACACTGTGGACCAGTAGGTGGAGCCGCTCAGAGGGTAGAGCCAATCAGAAGAGTGGGACTTTGATCCCATCGTTCACGCTACATGTCAAAAAGTCATCGGTGAAGACCGAACCCCATAAAGCCACCTCAATCTTCAAATTAGGGGTGTTGGTGTGATGGTGAATGCAACTTGTTTAACCCTCCCACTGTCCTAATGGGTGTGACCCCACAAGGAAAGTGTACCATTGAACAGGGTTGATGGTTTATCCCTTGGGTCCATGTGGCAGGGGTGAGGAGTGAGCACCACCTCACCCCTGCCACGTGGACCTCAAGGGATAAACCATCAATCCTGCTCAATGGTCAACTTTCCTCTCTGGGTCACACCCATTAGGACAGTGGGAGGGTTAAAGGCACACTTAGCAGTTTTGCTTGCTTTTAGCACCCTCTAGAGTCCGTTATTAATTCACTGTGGTGGAACCTAAAGTGAAACTTATCTCCTCGCTGTGCATTTGTCTTTTTAACACCTTCATGTAACTGCTGAAATGTCTCCTCGGCCTTCATTAGTGTCTACAGGACTGAGTCATCACTAAATCAAACAAATCAGCTGTGTTCATAATCTAAAACATGCAGGAAGCATGCCAGAAGCAGACTCCAGCTTCACCATGCCAATTCCACTGCACTTCACAGCTCCCTCCACCAGTAGGGAGCAGACTGGCAACTCTGAAGTTGCAAGTGTGGTATTCTGGTCACAGTGAGCAGTGGGGTCTGAGGTAATTTTCATTACCTTGTAAAGCAGGGGTAAAAAAAATTGAGAATACTGGCCTGTTATAATTAACAGGCTTCTGCAGTGCCTGGTGAGCTGCTGCATAGGTGACTCAACCACTGAATCAAGTGTGTTGGAGCAGAGAAACCACTAAGACATGCTGGACACCGGCCTTCCAGGCCTGGAATTGAATACCCCTGCAGCAAAGGGTAATTTTAGCACAAACACTCAAAAAATATTTTAAAATATGAAAAGGTTGCATTGTATCACTTAAAGTGGTTGGAGAGGCTACAAAAACACTCAGTTTATTGACCATTCAACACCTTTGGAGGCTGTCAAGCATCCGTGATAATTGGTAATGACTCCATGTCATCACTGTGAACGACTTTTGCAGAATTGTTCTGATTCAGAAACAGAGTTTTGCAGCACAAATGGTCTATTTAGTGCCAACAGCCAGACATTATCCCGTCAATAAGTGAAATCGTCACTTGAAAATGCATTTTGTCTTCACTTAGGTTATCTTTGACTGCTACTGAAATGTGTTTGCTGACATGAAATATTTAAGTGTGAGGAAAATGCAGCATTTGTGAGAAGGTGAATACTTTTCACATCTCTGTACACCATCAGCATTTCCTCATAGGGAGTATAAATAATCTATGAACTGCAGCAGCATGAAACATTAGCAAGCAGCTTCACAACAAGTCTTTTAACTTCCTGTAATGAAGCCGAGGCTTTTGCAATAATAAAACGTGCATCCTGCATCCTTAGAGATAGATCACATTGTAAAATACTACTGAGTTTTTCTTCTTCTTGTGCATTTGTGGAACAGATGTTGGGTAACAGAAACCCTGTAAGGCTGGGAAAACACGAAACCACAATCCTCTCAACAACAAAAACTATAAAACAGTGACAATTTAAGGCTGACATTGGGATTAGGACGTTGCAAACACGGGTGAGGGAAGGGACGAGTCATGCTTTAAATTCAGCACCTGCAATGCGGACAGCACCCTGACATAAAACCGTTCCTGACAAGTAGCTCCCAGAGGACTGTTGTTTCATACGGGTCTGTTCATGAATGCAGCAGCATCACTCTGACCCTAAATCCTTCACCGTGATCAAATAATACATTAATATATCTAAACCCGAGCCTGGTGCCTAGACAACGACGAAACGTAAGAGGCCATCTGTGCGCTTAGAGGGGTCGTTACAATAGCTGCCTTGCAGCTAGCTATCCGGGTTCCCAGAGCTAGCAGAGATCAACACACTTACAGGAATGGACAAGGCACAGCTAAACCGGGTCTGTGAAATAATTCAGCAGATAAAGATTTTAATAGATTACTTGCAGAACTGCGCACATATTAGTGGCTGTACGTTAACATCTGAGGTAAATATGTGCTTATACAACAATTCGTAGGTGAATGCCTCCACAGTCAGCAGCTGTCGAACCTGCCGATTTGAAAATGACTAATTTAACAACAAGAAAACAAATGACGTGAGCAACTACACATTTCAATAATGGCGTTTTAACTGTCACCAAATTAAGTGTTGTGTTCATACAGGTGAGATACGCTGTGACGCTGTTAACAGTGGCTAGCTTGATAGCTAATGCGGTTCTACAGCATAACATCACACAGACGCCTACCTGAAAGCTAGTGCAGTTGATAAAACGCCGAATGTTGTCGACGAAGACGAGCAGCAGCAGCAGCTAAAAGCAGGTTACACAGCAGGGCATGTCGGGGATGCTGCGAAACGCTCGTGAGGGTCGGTGAGGGTGGCTGTGTGTCGATTCTCCCTGGGCTACTAGGCAAAATAAAGCGATGCACCATGGGAAGCCAGGGCAAACAGGCAGACTTATCTAAAGATATTCAGACGCCATTATTACCTCTGTCCCATCACATTGATGGTTACGATAAAAATGTTACAGTTTAGATAGAAAGAAAGAAAAACTATTAGAACCTTAAATGCGTTGAAGTGCGAAACGTTCCGAGTGAGATACCGTTTGTCGGGGATAAACGTCGTCACCATAGCAACACACTATCGGGGTTGCGCCATCTAGCGATAGTGTTGGAAACTGCAAGGCTTTACTGTAAAGACTGGCATGGGCGGAGATCTTGGGGGGTGGGGGGGTGGACAAGGGGGGACACGACCCGGGTTGTGTGGATAATTTTTTTTTTACCATTTATTAGTTTGCGAGTGATTTTTTCCTTATATAAAATAAAAAGTGTTATGGAAATCAACCTGGCCTAATTTGAAAAAGTATTTATTTATTTATTTAGTCTATCAGTGGTGGAATGCAACAAAGTACAAGTATTCAGTTACTGTACTTAAGTACTCATTCTAGACAATAAACACAATCCCAGAATACTTCTTATCCACCATAAACAACATTTTAAACCGTACATCCAATTCACTTCATAAAAACCCCTCAATTGCTCTCTGTGAAGAATTTCCAGCCCACTTCAGAGGGAAGGTAGACACCATCAGAAGGTATATTTTATCCTCCTTAAGTAATAAGGTTTTAGATAAATCTAAATGGGTGTCTATACCAGAAGAAACACTGGACAGTTTTATCCTGGTCGAAGCTGAGACTCTTGATAACGTTTTCTCCTTAGTGAGAACCACCACATGTGTTCTGGACCCAATTCCAACTTCATTTTTTAAACAAATCTATGGATCTTTTAGCATTGAGATTTTAACTCTGATGAATTGCTCCCTCCAGACAGGGGTCTTACCTGCTGCCTTTAAAGGGCGGTGGTGAGGCCCCTGTTGAAGAGCAATTAAATTTTAATGATTTAAACAATTATTGACCGGTATATAACATACTGTTTTAAAGCAAATTTTTAGAAAAGTTGGTTTAAAATCAACTAAATGATTTTATAAACACTCATAATGTCCTAGAGAACGTTGAGTCTGATTTTAGGGTGAACCACAGCACAGAGACGGCCCTTTTGAAGATGATTTTAGATTGAATTATGACAAACGGAAGGCAACTGTGTTGGTTCTAACTTCTACTGGATCTAAGTGCTGCCTTCGATACAGTAGATCACACTATTCTTTTAAGTCGTTTAAAACAGATCACCCTCTCTGGTGCTGTCCACAGATGGTTCACATCCTACCTCACAGACAGGACTTTTATGGTGAATTTAGATACCTGTTCCTCGAGGGTCCATTGGATTACATGTGGTGTGCCCCAGGGTTCAATTTTAGGCCCATGGCTTTTTAACCTTTATATGCTTCCTCTTGGCGGGGTCATCAGGAGACATGGAGTCAATTTTCACTGTTATGCTGATGATACAGTTGTACATCTCCATGCCTCCTGATGACTCTTGGCCAATGGATGCACTTTTTAACTGCATTTTAGACATCAAATCCTGGATGGCAGAGAACTTTCTCCAGCTCAACCAGGACAAAACTGAAGTTTTAGTCATTGGTCCTCCTGAGGCCCAAACTTTTACCGAAATTACAATCTTTGTCTTTTAATCCTTGTGAACAAGTGAAGAACCTGGGTGTGATTTTTGACTCTGAGTTGACTCTTATCTCTCACATTAAAAACATCACAAAAATAGGTTTTTATCATCTAAAGAACATCACCAGAGTCCGCCCTATTCTCTCTCTGGCCAATACGGAGATGCTGATGCATGCTTTTATCACCAGTAGAATAGACTACTGTAACGCCCTGCTTTCTGGTCGTCCTAAATAGAGCATCTCAGGTTTACAACTTCTTCAAAATTCGGTGGCACGTGTCCTGACGAAGACCAGGAGGCGGGAGCATATTACATTGGCTCCCCGTATGTTTCTGGATCAATTTTAAGGTTCTTCTGATGGTTTTTAAGTGTCTTCATGGTCTTTGGCCTTCTCATCTCTAAGAACTGCTTTTACCACATGAACCCTCACGGCCTCTGCACTCATCTGGCAGGCGTCTGCTGGTCATCCCTAAAGTCAGAACACACACTCATGGCGTGTCATGTTCTGGTTTAGTTTTCAGACCCAGGACATTCAGAATCATACACGGAGACTGGATGAAAGGAATAAACAATATTTATTAGAAAAGGGTAACTGAAGGAGCGCCGTCAACGTGAGGCGAGGGTCAGAGTGAGGTCAAAGTGTGGAGGTTGGTTAGGGGATAGTGGAGGACGAGGAGGGTGGTCAGGCCTGAAGTGAGGGTTGGGCTCAAGAGGGGAATCCAGATGAGCGAGGGTGAGAAGCTGAGAGAGGGGCGGTCAGGTTGAGCGGGGAAACGTGGTCCAGTGAGATGATCCGTGGTTTATGGCTGACGAGGTGGTGATGGCGAGGATACCTGAAGACAGAGAACAGGAATTATAAATATGCAAAAGCTCAAGACAAGTGCAAAGATTTCTAGTACTCGAGAGTTGGCTTGTGATCTCAGGTTGGTGTACCAAAGTGAGCAATCATCC